AAATATTATATGTATATAGTGTCATCCCCTATCCCATATGCAGAGTCATAAGCTCTGCCTATTGAAGCTATAGGCTCAAACTTTTGAAACCTAGAACAGAATTACTTGGTGTATCTGTAAATTTCTTAGACAAGTCAACAGTGGGTCTGGTATCTATTCATCTTCGCATAATTTGATCCATATTTCATTCTAGATATTCCTAAATTTAAGTAGAGGTGAAAGATAATACTAGCTTTGATTCCCAGGAATGTTCTATGGAAGAATCAGAAATCAAGTTAAGTCATTTCTTATTCTAAAAGCCAACAGCTGCTAGGAGAAAAGCAGACAGATAATCCTAGAGCAGAAAATTTAAAAATATGTGTATATTTCAGAATATATGCATGGTATATCTATGATTGGAAGAACAGGAAATGAAAAGGAAAAAAGTAAATTGGTCAAGTAATTTAAAATTTAATAGATTAATAACAGATATTTTATGAATCATGCTTTTTTTTCTGACCACTCTGCCCCCCACCCCAGCTAGTAAGCCTAGAAGTTTTAGTTAGCATCATAAGCCTTATCTTTTTACATGGAATGAAAGTCACAAAAGAAACTATTGAGGAATAGAACAAGATCAGCTAAATTTAATTCATGATCTTGCTTTAACTTGATTCATCTGTTTACTTTTCTTCATCAGCTCAAAGTAATTTGGACACTTCAAACATACAGCGTGTTAACACATCCCCATATGCCCACACCCCATACTTAACATATGTTAACATTCTCCCATATTTATTTCATATATTTTTAAAAGAAATAAAACTTAGTTGATAGAAGTCTCCATCTCCGTTTCCTTTTTTAAATTGTGCAATACAACAGACATTGTATAGTGTAATAGATGATTACAAAGCAAGTGTCCTATCTACCATCCAAGTCAAGAAACATTTCAAGACACATGCACACACACCCTCACCCCTCTCTGCCACATACACCCTGATTGACATACACTATTGACTGACTGACAGTCTGAGAACCACAGAGGCTTTGCAGTAACTGACAGCTAGGCTATATCCCTCTCTAGTGCTTAGTTCACTTTTTCTTTAAGTCATCTTTTCTTCCCACATTCCATTTGGATCCTATCAGAGATAACAGATTTTAAGTCTTTAGAGTTCTCAGGTCAGACGTTTACTACAGAAAGGAAATCCAGGGACTAGTGATGATTAGACTAAAATCCAAACACCTGTACAACTACTTTGGACTCTTTGCGGAACTTTATTTTTTTAAGAGGTGTCTATTGTATCTTTTTAAGAGAAATCATATCTTTATAACGTTGTAGTTAAAACGAAGGTAGAATTGCATCATGCCTAGAAATATTAGGCACCCCGTCGTTTCCCAGTGGAAAACTTAACACAGAGTAACAACTGATCAAGGTGATGTAACCAGTCATTGTCACTGGCTCTGTTTATATTTAAAGGAGAAAAGATATTTTTTGGTAACTTTGTGCTTGATTTTTCTCCCTGGGTTCCAATAGCAAAAAACAAAGTAGTTGTGTTGTTTTGATAGAATAGTAGAGCCTAATTAGAATGTGTATTTTTTGTGTGTGGAGATTGGATCTCACTATATTGCCCAGGCTGGTCTCAAACTCCTATGCTTAAGGGATCCTCCCACCTCAGTCAGTCTCTCAAGTAGTTGGGATTACAGGCATGAGCCACTGCACCTGGCAAAATGTGGATTCTTGTAGGTTTCACATAGCTATAATTGATGGCTTGTAGTACATGAGACAAGTTATATGGTCTTTCAGTCATACTG